TCTACAACTCGCGCTGGAAACAGAGTCTTCAATGCTCTTCCCACATGGCTCCAGCGACCTCTTGCCAAGATTGGCCATATTTTGTCAAGGTTCTTCAAGGGCGTCTGGGACTTTATGAACCCTCCCCTCTGGGCTATGCTGATCGCCATCCTTGTCGCCTCTATCCCTCCGCTACAACACCTCTTCTTCGACCCAGGAACATTCGTCAGCAACTCCGTGACGCGCGCTGTCAACCAGAGCGGACAAGTCGCTGTCCCCCTGATCTTGGTCGTCTTGGGTGCCAACCTTGCCCGTAACACTCTGCCCAAGGAGGACCAGCACTCGATGGAAGACCCAAGTGTTGAGAAGAAGCTTGTCATTGCTTCTCTCGTTAGCCGCATGCTTATTCCGACGCTTCTCATGGCACCTATGCTTGCTTTAACCGCCAAGTACGTGCCTGTCAGTATTCTCGACGACCCGATCTTCATCATTGTTTGCTTCCTTCTCAGTGGAGCACCTAGTGCGCTGCAGCTGGCACAGATCTGCCAGATCAACAACGTGTACATGGGCGCCATGTCGAGAATTCTGTTCCAGAGCTACGTTGTCTGGATCCTGCCGTCGACTCTTCTTCTGGTCATGCTTGCACTGGAGACAGTGGAATGGGCCAAATGAGTCACTTGTTCGTTGCAGTGTTAGTGCTTGGAAGGACACGGCGCACCCTCCCGTGTTGCGATATGTAATTGGGTTTCAAAGCGAGGCGTTCTGGTAACTGGGAATGGGTTTGGTAGTTGCATTGATTGGGAACATGGCAGAGAACTGCAATGAAAAGCAGTTTGTATATACACTTTTAACGTTGTTCCGGTGTTTGGAGGTTGTCGGAGGATAGCCTCTTCTTTGAACCGATCGAGCCACTCGAACTGCGGCTACTCTGAAGTACCGCGATTCGAGAGGTCCGATCGGTTCAAGGGGGAGTCCATTCTACGACAACCTCTGAGTACTGTTGAGCACATGAAGACAATTCGCCCTGGCAAACCACCTTGTCGACTTATTAATCTACTAATGTCCACACCCAAAGTCCCTTGCGAAAAGACTTCGAATTCGAGCGCGAAGCCCAGAAGGTAATTCGCCACATGGCGCTCAGCACCTTCGTGTCCAAGTTTCTGGCGTACCAAAACCTGACGTAGACTGCCAAGGCTGGGAACTGGAATCTCGGAGGCCGATAGCTGCCCAATAGCTCTGGAGATAGCGTAGGGACCAGCTACACACCACACTGCCGTCTGTTCCAGCGATGATGATGCTCTACCTTTGAAACTTCTATTTCAATCAAGATCTGGTTATAGACGCCTCGAGACTTTTCACATTCCTCTTCACCTCGTCTCCTCTCCTCAGCGATCCTTACCGCCAATCAGCTTGGCACGTGGACCCTGAGCTCGCGTGTACTTTCTGGCGTTCCTGCCGCACTAGGTATCGATAACACCGCCCACCAAACAACCCGCCGTTCCTACCCACCAAGTAGGGCACGTTTATTTCGAGACCTCACTACAGCACCTTCGGACCCGTCTGGGGAGCTACATATTACCACGCGGTCGATCCTGCTTATTTCACTTCCGCACACCAGGCTGCACATTCTAGGCAATCGCCATGGCGGATTCCTCCAATGAGCAGTCGCGGCCCAGCGTCCCCCACCGAAGCGACTCGTCTGCTCTCTCGCAGAACGCTACTCCAGTGGATGGCGCGTCGCCGCGTTCTACCAAAGGTCAGTTCTTGTTTGGTTTCCTACTGTTTGGGTTGCAAGCTCTGGCAATTGATTCCTATCACTTTTTTGGGTTCGTGATTCTACCAGCGAGGTAGCTGTAGACTGTCGTGACTCCGCAGTGACTAACAACTCTCTGGCTCAAACGCTGAATCGAATCTCAAATACTACGCAAGCGATCTGGCTATGGCTTAGCTATGTGCATGTAGCAAAACGAGCGACTGCTATGTCCGAGAACAATGAACAAGATGCTTAGCTAATATACTGTCACCTTACCTACCAAGTACTTGACGAACAACTGCTAACCATGCGCTCGCAGTCGTGTCCTTTCCCGACGACACTGCCATCTCTCCACTGATGATCGGGAAGAACAAAGAACTTGACCAGAGGGACTACTTGGATCTCGACAGACCTGCAAAACATTACCCCGCAAGTGTCAGTAGAAAGAAACTATCTGGACGGCCCTCAGTCGAGCGTCTGTCATCAACTCCCAGAGGAGTACCAGCTGAGGGTAACCCATCTTTGTCTTCTCTGCTTTCGGACAGCTCAACCGATGCTCCTCATGGGCAGCATGCGCACGAGAACCTGTTGAAGCAGGTAGGCACATGGCTCAAGCACGAGCGAAGCCGACGCCATGCACGAAGGGCAAAACGCAAAGCAGCCAAAGAGGGCCCCGTCCAGGAAAAGACATCAATTGTGGCTGATGAGACGACTGAAGAGCCCATCGCGCTTACTAGAACCAGCTCTTCGTCGTCCCATGGCGAGGACTCTCTCGACCAACTGGCGCACATCCTCGAGAAGACCCTAGCTATGAAGCCAGCCGACGCTAAAAAGAGGATGCAACACTTCCGCAGGTCTTCCACAGGCTTGAAGCGACACTCTGCCATCTCCCTCGACACCGACTATTTCGAGTCCGTAGACCAGCTGGTCCCGAGTTGCGAGGCCATCTTGGATAATTCGAAGACTATGGCATACAACGTGGACGAGTCAGATGCTGAATCTGCCCCACAACTATCTGACAAGGAAGCACGCAAGGAGAGAGAGGCGTGGACTAAGTTCCGTGCTGAGATCCTCCGTCTAGCTCACACTCTGAAGCTTAAGGGATGGCGCAAGGTGTCGATGGAGCAGAGCAATGAGATTGATGTGCAGAGGCTGAGTGGCGCACTGACAAACGCCGTCTACGTTGTCTCGCCTCCTAAGAATCTGCAACTTCAAGAGCAGGGTGATGATGGCCAGCCGAGGCCGAAGAATCCTCCTCCGTAAGTCGCCTTGAACTTGAGCGAGACATATCTAACACCTTCTAGCAAGCTTCTGCTACGTATCTACGGTCCTCAGGTGGAACATCTGATCGACCGAGAGTCTGAACTACAAATCCTCACACGCCTCGCTCGAAAGCGAATTGGTCCGCGTCTGCTTGGTACCTTCACCAATGGCCGCTTCGAGGAGTTCCTCCATGCAAAGCCGTTGACAGCAAAGGAACTGCGCAATGCGGAGACTTCAAAGCAGATTGCAAAGCGTATGCGAGAGTTACACGAGGGCATTGACCTTCTCAAGGAAGAGCGAGAAGCTGGTCCATTCGTATGGCAAAACTGGGATAAGTGGGTTGACCGTTGCGAGCAGATCGTCACTTGGCTTGATGATCAGGTTCGCGAGAGCAAGCAAGACCCTGCGCTAGGCCCTGGCGACAAGTGGAAGAAGCGAGGCTACGTGTGTGGTATGGAGTGGCCAGTTTTCAGGCAGATGGTTGAAAAGTATCGGAGGTGGCTGGAGGAACAGTATGGTGGTGCAGACAAGATCAACGAGCGCATGATCTTTGCCCATAACGATGTAGGTCGTTTTACTTTGCAGAAGTCTTCTAAGCTGACTCTCTGTAGACCCAGTATGGTAACATCCTGCGTATGGTGCCAGAGGGCGAGTCGCCCCTACTGCTCCCAGCCAACCAGCACAAGCAGCTTGTGGTTATCGACTTCGAGTACGCAAATGCGAACCTTCCTGGTCTGGAGTTTGCCAACCATTTCGTAAGATATTTTCAATTACCCCTTGGATCCTTCACTACTCCTCCCACATTTGAGACCTTTACTGACCAAGACATAGACTGAATGGACATACAACTACCACGATGCCGATGTACCGTGGAGGTGTAACACCAAGTACTACCCAACCGTCGAGGAGCAGCACCGCTTCATCCGAGCATACCTGATGCACAACCCCTCCTACAAAGCAGCTGGAGGCTACACATCCAACCCTGCTACCCCCCACCTAGGCCCTCTCCCCTCCTCAGGAAGCACAACCGCCCTAGCTGCAACTGCGGCCCCAAGCAACATCTCCGCCTTCATGCTCGACTCGCGCGCCCCACCCGGCTCCCAGTACCAAGAGCAAGAAGCCGCTGCAGAGCGCCAAATCGAAGAAGAAACCCGTCGCCTCCTCGCCGAGACCAAACTCTGGCGCCTCGCCAACTCAGCCATGTGGGTAGCTTGGGGCATAGTTCAGGCTCACGTCCCCGGTCTCCCCGACTTCGACGCTTTGGATAAACAAGCAAACGCGGATGCATCCACCAACAACCCCAGCGGCTCAGCCGCCGAGCTCGACAGCGCTACAGCAGAGATACGCGCCGAGGCGGGGGCCGAAGGAGGTTCAGAAGAGAAGACGGGGGCAGGGATCGTGAGTGAAAAGACAGCGACAGAGGAAGGGGCCACGCAAGGAAACATGACGCAAGCGGAACAGGATGCTGACCTTTTCAAACCACAGGATGAAGAGGAGTTTGATTACCTCGCGTATGCTAATGACCGCGCCATGTTTGTTTGGGGCGATGCGATGCGCATGGGTATTGTGAGCCCGGAGGAGGTGCCTGAGGAGCTGAGGAGTAGGGCTAAGGTTGTGGAGTACTAGGGGTGAGCTGGGCATTATGACCCGCTGAGGGCTTGGTGCTTTGAGAGCGGCTGTGTGGGTGTGTGGGTGTTAGCCTTGTGGTGGAGCACGGGTTCAGTCTGTTCGAGAGAGCGCACTCGCGACTGATTTCAAGGCCACACACATGTAACGGAGACGTATGGGGCGGAGGGTAGCTTTTGACTTGCGAGTCTAACGTCTTCTATGACACGAATGCTCATGTATGATGGCAAATGGAAACGACAAAAAAAAAGAACCTGGCTGAAGAATCCTCGAGAGGGATATGAGGTAGTCATGAGACGTGATTTCGATATTTCCAACACAGTTGCTCACACTGGTATATGCCCCAAACGCCAAAACGCCCATTCCAACCCGTACCAACTCAGCTCGTGTCCATAGCATCCTCATCCTCATCCCCTTCTTGTATCCCTTCAAGACCCTCCTCCTCCTGCTGCTCTTCCCTCTGCCCTCTCCTGTTATCACGCCCTCCCCTATCCATCGCCTCAACCAACCCCTCCAACCCCCTAACCTCCTCACTCCCCACCCTACTCCCCCCCTCCCAAACCCCCTCAACCCCATCCTTTGTATCCACACCCCTCCTCTCCAACACCCGTTTACTCTGACTTTCAACGTAAATCTTGCGTTCGCGGGTTAATTCCTCCTTATCCTTAGGCTGGACGTGCGTATGTGGTGAGGAGGTGTTGCTGGGTAAAGCAGTGTTTGCTAAATGCGGTTTTAGGCTTGCGAGGAGTTGGCGGAGGTAGGGGAGTTGGGTTGTTGTGAAGGAGGTATGTGTTGTTAGGGGCGTGTGTGTGGGTTTTGTTTCCCCGTTGCTGTTCTTCTCGGAATTCTTCTCTCCGTTTGCGTTTGTGTGAGGTAGGGATTGTATACCTATTTCCTTCGCAGCAGGCGCGTGCGTTAAGAAGGCGAAGGGTGCTGCTTGTCCTTCCTGATCGTTATTAATTGATGTCGATTCGCGTTTTGGTGCTGTAGATGGTGTGAGAAGGGCGCGTAACCGTGCTATTTGTGTCTCGTTGCGGGTTTTCTCGGCAAGGAGAGCGGCGTTTAGTTTTTGGGTTTCGATGAGTTTGCGGCGGAGGGTGTAGAGGGCTTCTGGGGTGAGGGTTGAGTTTTTGGAGGGCGGTTCGAGGTTCTAGTTTGTGTTAGTGTTGTGTTCGTCGTGTCAATTCATCCATCCTGTCCTTCTACTGCCTCCAAATACCACTGTCTACCACCGTCCTATCGAACATACCTCATAATGCCCCAACCTCACCCACTCCGCGAGCCCTTCATCCTGGCCCTTCCCCCTGCCCAACGCAAAAACATTCCTCAACGTCCAAATCTCCAATTTATCAAAGTTCTTGTCCACGGCATTCTCCATAAGTGTCTCTAGCTTCAGGACTCCCTCTTCAATCTCCAACCGCGCTTCTGGGTATACATCGTTTCCGTCTTCGTCTTTGGCCGGTGTGCGGTTTTGCGAGGCGTAGAGGTCGGCGAAACCGAGGAGGGAGGGGTCGGCGGAGGAGAGACCGGTTTCGAAGGAGTCGGTGCAGCGGTAGAGGACTTCGTTTATGGCGTTTATTATGTCGTCGATTAGGGACTAGGATCGATGTTAGTTGTTGGATTGATCTATAAGAGCCGGGGTAGCGGAGGTAGTGGATCAATGTGCAGAGAGTGGTCTTCGAGGCATTGCAGACACAATCCCCAGTCTATCCACACTGCCTACACCCACGTCCCCTCCCACCACCCCACCCCTCCTCTACCCATCACCCAAGAATCATACGTACGATAGGAGGCCAAGTAAAGTGCTCAGTAAGCAGCATATTCTCCTGCTGCTTTGCGCTCGCCATCTTGTTGTTTCGTCGTAGCGTCGTTGTCGTTGTCGCAAATGCGTTCAGCACCACCCGTTGTTTGCGACACGCGCGCGCCGAGGGACGTGTTTACTGCGGGCCCGCTCCCGGGATCTGACTGGACGGAAGACAAGGGTCGAAGGGCTCGCGCTAGTGGGGTCGCGTAATTTGCTGGATTGGGATGCGTGCTGTGGGAGTCATGTGGATGGGGTGTGCGTCCGCGGAGTTGTGTGGAATCTGTCTTTTGGTTTGCTTTCCCTTGATGTCATAACTGGAGATGCTGTGAGTAGGTCACGACATCACCAGCAGAACAAGTCCTCACACCAAAACGGTCATTCAGTCAAAGATGAGATCCTTCCATAAAGTGCAGCCTATTTAGCCACACAACTACATTCATACACCCAAGCACGGCGGCTTGAAAATCCTAAATTATACAAGCGTACAGCACGACTCCATATCGTCCATACTGGAAAAGCTAGTTGCTTTGACTCTTTCTCTGTCTCTCTCGCTCTGGTAAAGGTAGATCATATCCACCACCACCACCTCAACAACATCCACCTGGCTAGGATATAACACTCTTCTTCTCCTCTTCCTCTCTCGCACTCATGCCGCACGCAGCACTCGCAAGGCAAGAACAAGAACAAGCCAAAAAGACAGATAATACTTTTCTCCCATAATCGGCTCGAAAGCACATTTAGAAAGAAAGCCAAAAAACACACACAAGAGGAGGATAGTTTGGTGTAATCCAAATATAACACAATAAAAACGCCAATCAAAGACCAGACAGAGTAACAAAGAGACTAGTTCTGACCCTTTCTCTCTCTCTCTCTCTCTCTCTCTCTCGGTGTTTCTCCATGCGTTCATGTCGCTGTCGTAAATGCAGTAGATGTGAAGCCAGTCAAAAGAAAAGGGAACAATACCACCCACCGCCCATCAACCCAATTATCGTACTGTTTGCTGCTGCCCGTGAATCCTAAAAAGCGCGGCGGAGCTGGGTAATCTGTTATTCTATACAAAGACACATGTCCGTCGAATCCATCCAGACGGGATAATGTGTGTGTGTCGGTCAAGTTCGCAGATTCGCTCAATACGCTCGCGATTGTTGATCACGGAACCTCCGCTCTTCTTCCTGGCGGCGGGCCTTCTTCTCCCGCTCTAGACGGATCTTGTGCGCTTCGGTTCCGTCGTCCATAAGGGACTCTTTGAACCAAGGGTGTTGCAGTGCTTCCTTGGCTGTTATCCGTTTCTTGGGGTCGTAGACGAATATCCGCCGGAGGAGGTCGAGGAATTGACGGTTGAAGTCGGTGTGGGCTGGTATTGTTTCCTGGGAAAGGTTAGTCGACTAACAAACGCACAGTGTGACCTGCGGCGACGTACGGGAAGCTTCTTCATCGCCTTGACGTATTTCTTCGAGGCCTTGTTGGTGTCTGCGTTGGGGTAGTCGAGCTTGTAGTTCTTGAAGTATCGTGCAGCACTAGAATTGTTAGCAACGTCGTGAGAATGGTATCGTGTCTACTTACGAGCTCGACGAGTTGCGTGATGAGCCGCGGTCTTGCTTGTAGACCGCTCGCACAATGTCTCGATCAATCTTGCCACTGCAGACAGCCTCCATCATCGCCAGATGCTCGAGGTTGTCATGCGTTTGGAAAAGGGCGTCGCCAGTGAAGAATTCCACCAGGATACATCCTATACTCCAGATATCGCAAGGGAAACTCCAGCCCAGGTTGAGGATAATCTCAGGTGCTCGGTAGTGGCGAGTCGAGACTACCGAGGAGTGGTATTCGTCGTTGAAGGTCGCTGATCCAAAGTCGATGAGGCGGATCTCGGGATCAAGGAGGACCTTGCGATGCCGCGCTGTCCGGTTCACTGTTGTCGACGATGACGGTACAGTCCTATTGTACGTAAAAGTCTGGTAATTGTTGTTGACAAGCAGGATGTTCTCCGGTTTCAGATCGGTGTGGATGAGGTTGAGGTCGTGGAGGAAAGCAACGCTGGTAAAGAGCTGTTTCGCAAACTTCTGGATGTGGGAGCTGGGGAATGGGACAAAGCCGTTCGACTTGAGGAAGTCAAACACACTTTGTCCGTATAGATCGGTAACGATGCAGATGTGGTTCCGGAAGTCGAAGCAATCTCGTAGGTGAATGCACCGGTTGATGTTGTGCTTGTCGTTGGATGCCAGTGTTGACAGGACCCGCAGTTCGATACGGCTGGCATCTCGGTATTTGGGCACTGATCGAATGACCTTGATGGCACAATTTGTGCCTTTCCGTCTATCGTAGGCTTGGACGACTTTGCCGAAAGTGCCCTGGCCGAGCAGTTTTGTGATCTGGTCTGATGTCCTTTGTCAGTATCATTCTTCGGGGTATTGATCGTAGAGACCTACATCTCTCTGTGAGGTCGGCCTCTGGTACTACAATGTAGTGGCCGTCGTCGTCGTCTACCTTTTGGTCTTTCGTATATGACTTCTGGGGCACGTTAGTTCGACTCCTAGGAAAGGATGCGTGAATCTTACATCTGGGACAACCTGTACGTAGACGTCCTTCGCCTTGATTACCGGATTGGGCGGCGGCTGGTACAGGCTGAAGGGGTCGTCATTGTCCAGTTCCCGTCTTTTTGCCTGCTTTGCTTCATCCTGCACCACAGCGCGTGTGCGCTTGCGCTTCTGGCCCGCTGCGCTGTTGTCAAGAGGCGAGATGTGATGGCCATTGCTGACCTGCGAGCCTAATGACGTCGGCGCCGTGGTGTTGAGCGCAGAGGTAGTGCGGTCGGTGGACAGTGAGTGGTTGGGAGAGTCGTAGTAGGGTGTTTGGGTGGTGGAGTAGGACGTGTGCTGGTTGTAGACGGGGTCGTATGCCGTGGATGCGGTCGTCTTGCGCTTCTTGTCTGTGTGGCGCGCAGTCGGGTTTGTCGCGATGCGTGACGAGGGCGCGTGGTTGCGAGGCGGAGGCAGCTGGGGTTCATCGTCGTCGTCGTCGTCGTCAATAACAATGACCTCCTTCGGGATGCCGTTCCTGTAGAAGTCGGCCCAGTCGGGGTTCCGCCGCCGGTGGGCGGAGCCCGGGTCGTTCGCGCTCATGTCGATGGGCGGGGCCTGGGAGATGGGCGGCAGCTGGGGCGGGTGTCGTGTGTGGGCAGTCGCGTTTCGGCGAAGGTCTGAACTGGAGGAAGCGCTAGCGTAGCCGTTGTAGAGCGAGTTGCCTATCCGAGCGCCGCCGTTGGCGATCTGGGCATTGGCGATGCTGGGCTGGTACGTCTGGTGGTGAGAATAAAACTGGTGATGGGGCGGGAGTGTGGCCGTGGCGGTCGAGGGCGTCGACATGGCTGGGTGCGTCGCTGGGGGTGCGAGAGCCGACGTCGTGACGCTACTCGTCTGCACAGGCAAGCGGACCAAGCACGTCGGTGAGGCGGCCAAACGGCGCGACGGGGGCGCCGAATTGGGGGAGCGTCGTCGTCGGGATGCTCAGTCGGCGCTTTTGCGTGCTGGGACGCGGGCTCGCAGCCAGCAGAGGCGTTATCGCAGGCCTGGGCAGGTGGATGGTGCTGCGGAGGTGCTGGAGCCGCGGCTGGAGGCAGTGCCGGGGCGGGCTACGAGGCGACTGAGGGCGATGGGGGTGCACGCTGGGAAGAATGGCGGGCGTCGGACATGCCAGAGAGGTGTGGAAGCGTTGATGTCGCCGGGTGGAAGCAGGCGAGGTTGAGATCACACTTGTTGCGGAGTCTGTGGTGAGAACCGGCCTGTGCGGTCCACATGGAGCGTCATTCGCTCAATCTTCTCACGGCACGCCAGCGACGTCTCTCTTTCGCGTCTCGCGCCGAACTCTGCTTTGTCCTAATTCTGCGGCCCAAGACTCGACACTGCTCTATGGGACTCTATTTGATGGCAATAATCCCGCAGCGCTTGTCTTCTGCTGTTGCTACATGTCCGCACCCAGATCATGTGCCTGCAGCGCGTTTGGCGACAGCCCGCCTCGTGAAAGAGAAAAGCCGCCCGAAGCCCATTAATATGTCTTCGGTCGCTTGCAAAAGAGGGTGGCACGCCGTCTCCACTCGACCTGTCTGGATTCCCTCGAACTCAAACATTACCAATATCAAACATTCATCATTAATTCACGATTACATTCATCGCCTTCACACGTACATTCCACCATATGCATCGCTCCTTCCCTCCCGCCCTCGATACTGCCCAGGTGCTGAACCGCGCCCAGACCACCACCCTCCGTCGCAGACATCTGACTGAAACCGCTGCACAAGACTTCCACCCAACAATCAAAGGACCTCCGTAACACTAATCCCTACACCGCGTGCGGCTCTAGCACCTTTCCCCATCAAACAAAGCCCTTGTGTGACCGCTCTGCAAAGTGAAGCAACGACCGTGGTCACGAGAAGACCAAGACAATGATCTGCGATGCTGCACGTACCTACAAGTGTCATCTGGTTACTGTGGTAGTAGTCGTCGAGCCTCAACCATCGTACGTGACGAGCGCCTCGAGAGACATGATGGCATGGCAACAACCCGATGAGTTTCTCGACACATTTGTTGTGATCAAAGTTCGAGGTGTTCAGGGTCCATCCCAATGCAGCTATTCCCGCGATGCCGCTTTCTAAATGCACATTCCCGGTTCTTCGCGAACCTTGGAGGCTGGGATAATACATACAAGGCGCGGTCCCTGCCGCACGTGGAACTGCACTTCCTTCTGTTGCTTCTCTATTATGACGCAATCATCCTCCTATTTTGATGCTCTCACCTATGTTACCCTCTAGGCACACGCCCTGACGCTGATGTGAGAATTCTTTTACCGCGGTTCATTGGTACCGCCCATTTGGATGCGCTTCTTTGCCTCTGCCTCTTGGCTGATGGAAGGTTCGATGCACGCTGCACTCCGCTTCGAAGATAACGTCATGGCCCCCTCAACGCTTTCCCCACTCCTACACTACAATTTGTAGGGTTATGTGCACAGCCCATCTGGCTATGTCGCTGCGATGAATAATGAGCAGGTTCTGGAAGATAGCCCTGGTAAAGGAGCCGCCTGCGCCTTCCTGGTGACTTAACCGCCAAGGCGGAGTCGTGACTTGACGGGTGGTCTGTGCGCAGCACAGTTGTGTGGCAGCGGACTTTCAACCCTTGTCTGGCAAACATGTGGGTACTGTGAGAATGTGTTTTACGAAAATGCAGGTTGTTCCAGTTCTATGTTGTTGTTGATAAACAAGGACATGTTGCTGTTGCTATGTGTGGTATGTGATAGAATTGAGACGTCGTACATCCCGAATGCAGTGTGACATCTGCATGTCACTAGGCTCCAGTATTGAAGTCGTAGCTTACGATGAAATGGTTGAAGTAGTTGTTGAAGTAATCATTCCGTATACTGTGACATTGTGCGGAAGTATTAAACTCTGGTCTCATGTTACAAAACTCATGTTTAACCTGGACAAACAAACATATATTTCCATCCCGATAGACCAAGGGAGGTGAGGATGAACGCATTGGCTTCTAACATGCGAATATGCTTTCGGTCTTTAGCCTGATAGCCGTTTCAACTACGAGAAATGATTCAGACAGCAGCCCCAATGCAGTTTTGCAGATAATCTTAAGTGCACCGTGAAAAAGATGCAGCATTCAAACATCCAGTCCTAGAAAACGATCACAGAGCCGCCGTGCACATACTGATCACAAAGGCCTTCCGTGCAGTGCAAAGAAAAAAACCAAGGAAAATCGTAATCGTTCGTTGCGACGGAAATATGGTAGAGTGGCGGCCATCGTCCAGCGGTCGTTAAGATGGTGCGACGTCGATATCTAGAGCTTCGGTACGACACTGAGCTCCTCGAAGAATTCAATGATGGTCTTGCTGACACGCTCCACGATGTAGTCGACGTCGGCATCGGTGACGTTGTATGCAGGGGCGATGATGATGTGGTCACCGCGGATGCCATCAACGGTACCGGAGCCTGGGTACGTGTACACATTGTATCCATCCTTCAGTCCTGCGAAAAGGGTTAGCGATGAGATGTTTGTTGGGAAAAGATGAATTTACCAAGTTCATGTACCCTCCAGGCCACTGCCACTTCTGGATCGAAAGCTGCCTTGGTGTGTTTATCTTGCACAAATTCGATCTGTCTTTGTTAGTAGTCGCACAGCGAATGCCATGTGGTGTTCAAACTTACCCCTATGAAAAGACCCTTTCCTCGGATATCGAAAACGTTGGGGTGGTCGCCCAAACGAGCTTTCAGCTTCTGCATGAGCTTCTCCCCCTTGTCGCGAACATTCTCCAGAAGATTGTCATCTCGGACAATCTCTTGGACCGCCAGACCAGCAGCGCACGCAGTTGGAAAATTCTGGAAAGTATGTCCATGTGCAAACGCGTTGTCTCCCATGGCATCCACGATGGTTGGCCCGACCAGCATTGCGGAGAGGGCTGCATAGCCGCCCGCAATGCCCTTGCCTACCAATTGGATGTCTGGAACGACGTCCTCTTCCTGCCAAGCATGCATGTAGCCAGTGCGGCCCATGCCACACATGACCTCATCCAGAATCAAAAGTACGTCGTATTTCTCGCATACTTGCTTCATCGCCGTAAGGTAGCCGGGCAGTGCGGGAACACATCCAAGTGCCTGTATTCATGTGTTAGTCATCAACAAGCGGGCAAAAGAAACTCATGCCCACATACCGCGCCAACGACAGGCTCCATGACGAAGCCTGCTACTGTGTCAGGTCCAAGATCAAGAATCTTGCGCTCCAGCTCATCGGCAAGCCGCCCAATATATTGAGCTACAGAATCTCCCTTCTTCATATCGCGGCTAGGGTAGCAAGGAGATATGAACTGCGTCTTCTCAGGCAGTATAGGTAGATAGATCTCTTTACGACCTTTGTGTCCACTGGTTTCGAGAGCACCAAGAGTCGCTCCATGGTAGGAGCGATCGCGGGCAATGAACCAGCTGCGTTGAGGTTGCGGATTCGGCTTCAGCTTGGAGTGATATTGATAGGCTAGCTTTTGTGATGCCTCATTAGCCTCAGAACCTGACATCTGTCAGCTTGACCTCCACCCTGAAGTTTGGAACCATCTTACCAGACCCATAGAATACTACTTCTGACATCTTGTCATCGGTTGATTCGAGAATAAAATCCGCAAAATCTTCCACTATCTCGGTGTGAAAACTCATCGATGCGGCATACCCAACACCGGACTCTTGTTGCTTCCTCACAGCTTCAAACACTCTTTCGTCCCTATGACCAATGTTTGATACAGCGGCACCTCCAGATGCGTCAAAGATCTTCCAGGCCTTCTCTCCGTCTACTATCGAAAGCCAGTTGCCCTCGGCGCCTTCCAGAAACAACGGAGGGCCCCTTGCACTGCGTTTGAGTAAAGGACTACCGAGATTATCGCGACCTCGGCGGGCTCGACGGCTGCGAGAAGTAACTAGTGCAGGAACTTGGTCCATCGTTCCAAGTGAAACGCTGCTCTGAGATGCGGGACTGGAACTGCCGCTATCATCTATCAATAAAGCCGGTGCCATCTTTGCTAGTTGGCTTTTAGTATTAGTGAGTAGTAGTCAGTGTTGTTGAGAAGAAAGTGGGAGATTGATATAGGAAACGGTGTGTGCAGCAAATGTTGAATGTATTTGCACGATGCCCGGAGAGACTGAAAACGCAGGTGAATGATGGGTGACTTTATATTCGATTGATAGTAGCGTGAGCTAACCAAGACGCGTATGGTAGCCCGACCGGTGAGGCATCCTCTTGGAGTGGAGCGTTTGCGGTGTAATCAGGCTCAGGGTCACTAGGACCACACTTTGATTCTCGGCACACCATCTTCAGCCCTAAATTCGGGCCGTTTGAGGAGCCTAAATTCATGAAAAACAGTGCAAGAAACGATGCCGGTTCAGAACTGGCTTCCAGGTGGATAGATATGTAGGTAGGATGCGGTGAACAGATTCTAGGCTTATTCATTCTTGTGGAGAGTTTAACGGTCAATCGCTTACCTTATTAGCCAATCAGCGCAGACCGTGGCTGTTTTACCGGATTTTGCTTGCTATCAAGATGATAAAAGGACGGTCAGCCGGATGTGATAGGAAGACGCATCGTGTCAGATCAGTGGGCATTGTCGCCTCGATGTCAGGGCGAAAACCAGAAATACCCCTAGATAGTCATCTTTGCATATGCTGCGCGGCGTATCATTATCCAGGAGACGGGGACGGTTGTCAGCAGGGCCAACGCGAGTCGTGCGTGCATATCCCGTCCTTGTCGGATTCTCCATCGTATCTCACATGGACAGGCTGGCACACGTATGCAGTGCAGGACTGACAACGCCTTGATCTAGCGGCTCGCGAACGGCTGGGACGCCTGCATCGTTGCCACATGGTAGAAGTGGAGTATAGAAATACGCCGGGGTTTGGGATCGACGAGGTCGCTGCGGCCGCATGCTATCCGGTGCCAGGAAGATCGGATTGGGTTTTAGCCGTTCATCTTGTGTATCCGAACCTAGTGTATAGAATCCAAGAGCTCCTTCTTGGTTAATGACGGCATTGAACACGAAGGGAGTATCGCGAATTCTGCCAAAAGCGAGAAGGCCCGCATGCGTAGTGTCGCGAGTACCGGCGCATTCTACAGGCCAGAAGCCCTGGAGGTTGCAATGCTAGTACTCCCTCGATTGCGTATACATGACCTGACGCGGTCTACTACGATGTCTAGACTGATCTTTTGTCATGCCACTACAATATTGTAAATCAGGACAGCGCAAGGATGTGCTGGAGGGAACGACTCAGCTCATACGCTGACGCCTGGTGCATGTGATGGCTTGGCCAACCACATCCATGCGACCCAGCCGCGCTTCATCATACAGGCCTGATGAGAGGAATGGCATATCGGCGCTTCAATGGTTGGTTGGGATGCTGGACACATGCAAACCAGCTGCCACAATCGACTAACTGCAGATTCTGGCACTAGCGCGGAGGTATACAATGAGGCAGACAGTAAATGTAGACGCTAGGTTAGGTGCCACAATAGCGAAATGGGAGGTACTTTTCCGACGGAGCAAGCTTGACGTGGTGGCGCGGGGTGATAACGGCCAGACCCTGCGTATACCGGCAGGCCGTTAGCTGGGTCCCAAGACGTCACCTGACGAGCTTGGAGGCCGTAAGTTGCGGTGAAAGAGAGAGAGTTAGCTCAGTGTTGGGAGGTGGTGCTAGAGCGATGAAGTTGTCCGTCGGGACGAGAGCAGTTGCCCGGGCCGTGATGTGGAGCTGGAAGAAAAGCGCCGAAGCGCCGAGCCGAGTCGGAAGCGCCTGCCTCTTCCATAGCCAAGCCCCGCGTTTAGCCTCCCCCACATCCTTCCAGACATGCAGGCGGCCTTCACCACAACGCGATAATTCTATCATACCGGAGAAGGCAAGGTGAGTGACGGCCCGAGGAACACTGCCATTGCACGCGATCTGACTTCCAGATAGGACCGGACCGAAGCCACGATGAATCCACGCGTCGAAGAAGTCAGCGATTCGGACAGCGATCCGTCAGAGATGGGCATCGACGATGTACCCGCTCTGATGAACGCGAATAATATACCCAGCACGGGCAACAAGTCCATGCCGACACAAGCGCAGATGCAGGCGCTCCAATCGCAGATGCTGCAGCCGCAATCGCCGTCCATGTCGACATCTACGGACCGGGAAAAGTCCAAGCACTACCAATGTCTATACCCTATATACTTTGACAAGTCACGGACACGGGCTGAAGGGCGTCGCGTGGGAAAGGAGCTCGCGGTGGAGAACCCTCTGGCACGGGAGATGGCCGACGCTGCTGCCGACTTGGGTCTCCGGACTGTTTTCGAGCCTGACAAGACTCACCCCAAAGACTGGGCCAATCCTGGCAGAGTGCGCGTCCTTCTCAAGCACGAAGGCAAATTGATGGACGACGATGTGAAGAACAAGCACCATCTCTACATCCTCATCGCCCAGGCCCTCAAAGCCAATCCGACACAGAAGAATACACCTTTCAGGTTACCCATCGCGGGCCTGCCTATGCCCAAGGAGATGCCGGAGCCAGCGATACCAAAGGGCTGGAAGATGAGCAAAATCCTCCCCCTACACTCACCTGCCATAACGGGTGGCGGTGTCAGTGAGAACTTTTTACAGGATATGATGGGCGAGATGATGGGCGGCGAGGCAGGCAGCGGCGCAAGCAGCGGGACAGAGTCAAAGAAAAAGATCAAGGACAAAAAGAAGAAGTGAATCAGCATCCTGGACCATCACCATCTATGCGTCAACGCTTACTTCGCCTAAATCAAACGCCAATAGGCCGGCAAATATCACATAACCTGCGCCGCAGCCATACATGATGGAGGCTGTCGTCACATCTTACATATCACTCCACCGCGCGCTTAGATACCATCCCGATATAAGCGACCAACGTCTCTTGTCGTGGGACCAGCGAATCAACACCATCTACAATCATACAGCAATGCTTCTTCGCTCTGTCCAAGTCGCCTTTGCGTGGCACTAACGCCTGCATTGCTTTCATCTCCTGCGCTGCTCTTACATTTCTCGTCTAGAATTTCTCTTTCGGCCTTCTGTCGACACGCGACTCGACATGATTCGATACTCTATCAATATGCACATCGCTGCTTCGTTAGCTATATGCATTCTGCACACGGAAACCTCCTTGCAGCACTATGTACCACTAGCTGCTGCACATTCGCCATCGAATACTTCGACCGGCATGCGAAGTCCCGTTTTCTACGCCACTTGACAACAATATTCCGCGTGATACCCTGCGTCTGATTATATATTCTTACATAGCATCGCCACCTCATCACGCTTCCTAGCTGCGCACACGGATGTTTAAATATGACACGATTCTTGGTATACTTCTGCGTTATGTATGTATACGATTCAGTTCAAGTGGGTGGCCCACTACCTAGAACAGAGCCCCACTAGCTCACCGTTCAAGCTTTCAGCCTCTAAGTCTGTGACAGCCCCGCGGGCCGAGTAAAATTCTATCGGAGAACAGTTGGCCTGCATGTACCCTTGCACCCACACCACTTACCTGTCACTGGTAAGGCGCCTCATTCGTCCGTTCTCGTCATTCTCTGGCCTTACATTCTTAGTCTGCTCGCTACTCCACTTCGTGTTTCTCACATGGAACGTCAGACTCGGAATTGTTGGGCCAGGGGGATACGTTGGTCTCTAAGTAGCGAGTGGTCGTGTTTACTGAGCCTCAGCCGTGCAACCACCAGATCTGGCCAAACACAAACGTATGAGAATGCGACACAAGACTTCGCAAGGCATCCGACTAACCTGCCGCTAATGAATATGGGCTTGTTGACCTCAGCCGTGCTGTCGTATCTACGGCTGAACTTTCCCGATCAACAGCTCTCGGGAATCCGGATCATGTTACGTACAGAACAGCAGACGCGCAATTATATAATGGTAAGTCGATAACGATTGGAGCTTTCCAGGAGACCAGCAGTTGTGACAGGTCTCAGCTATATGACAAGACCAGTCTGATAGTGCCTTTAGGTGGTGTCATACCCGTACTTGGCCGACCGCGATAGAGTGTCATCATACAGTCGTGGGATGGAAGAGCCCTGCATTCCAGCCCGCTCGTCTAGCCTCTAAATGACCGTATTGCGATTGGCTTGCATATCGACTAAATCCCCTTACAAGCTATCATTCGGAGCGCCACCAGGTGTAATCGCCCAGCTGTTAGGTACACTGCATCACAACCCCTGTCCAATCTCGACAACGGAAAGAATGTCAGCGTGACACAGCATGTATAGTATGCAAACAGCACCTCCAATAACCAAACCCAATGACAGACACGTGAGTGGTCCGGGGAAAATAGCCGCAACCACTACCCTTGAGCACCCATGCCAACATCGGTGTAAACGGGAACATTGGACTGCCCGTTTATGTTCGCCACTTCAGATGCGTAGCCAATCAGCGTCGACCTGACGTAAAGCATTTATCCCCGGTCCATTGAAGGATACGCGCAATTATCGGCCCGCTAGGGAAAAGCGGAAGCCCTGTCCGCGTCTTAGGGAGTGCTTCCAGGCTAAGCGATACCATCAAGCTGCCGTTCTCCGAGTAGCTTGCGCGAATCG